AGCTTGTGGGATGATATCAGCCAAGCTCTCAATATCCCAGATTTGCAAGAAACTTGGATTCCCTCGAGGAGCGCCCAGGGCTTTCTCGCCGTGCCGTTGTGTAGTATCGTCAAAGACGGGAGGATCGACGAGCTCATGAGACTTCACGTCTGGCTTCCAGACGGCAAAAGAGGGAATCCAGACTTCTCGGTACACAGCCATCAGCCATTCGCGCAGAGTTGGATACTAGCTGGAGAGGGCACAGATCGTCAGTACAGCTCTGAGCGTGTCGAAAACATTGCCGAAGCCACTCACGCCGAGTTCGGGCTCTCCTGGAAGGCTGAAAAGTCCCAAGGCAAGACTTATGTTACACACCAACAATCGTCTACTGTCCAGTCGACCGGTAAATTGGTCAAAGTGCAGGACATGAAGAGGACATCTCATCACAAATATGATACCTATACCGTCTCTGCTGGAGCTCTCCATAGCTCCGAGGTCCAGCCCTATACTGTCCATGCCACCTTCTTCTACTTCGACTCTTTCCGAGGCTTTTGCCCAGACGCACCTGTGCTTGGACCAGTCGATGCTGCTCCTTTCACCCAGACTAGGGATCCCGCGGGCGAGACGCCGAAGTCTTTAGCACACTATGTGAATATCATTCTGAGATGGGAGGAACTGATGGAATCCGGTAGGCAGTACCTGGGAAATTCCGAGAAGAAACACGCATTGGAAGCATTCAACGGCGCACTAAACCTATGTACCTCTTTGAAGCATTCTTTGAATATTAGTGAGTATCGCGCTATAGTTGTCAAGAACTTGGAAGGCTTGGATCAATAAGCATTTTTTCTCGGCAGTCTGTAATGTGTAATACAGAACGGTAATGGTTGTATGAGCACTTACAACAGACAAGCTGACATGGATGGGCCGGGCAAGGGCCATTCTGTGCCATTATAGAAACGTTAAGATAGCGCTCCGTACAGTGGGTATAAGTCTGGTGTAACGCCTAACCAATCTGGTGAACCGTGAGTTACATATCCAAAAATTGCTTTTTCCCCATGGCAGCATATGAATCTGCCAAAAACAGATCACTCCAAGTAGAACAAGGGTATTTGGAATTCCGGCATCTAATCAAAGTCAGCATAGGTAATACATTGTCTATGGAAAGACCTAGATGGTCCTGGCTGGTTGCGCCACAATGTGACTGACAGACGCCATCCTGCCATATTAGGCATAGTGTCGACATTTTCTGGATTTTGTTAGTCAGCTCTTGCGAAATCCATCGTCAGTCATCGAACAACCCCAGCGAGGCCATTTCGGAGTCTAAAAAACACCCACATCACGATCTCATATCTTGTAGTTGTAGAAACAACCCACTAGTTCTTTTGCTCCTGAGCTTAAAAAGAGACACACCTCCAGCAGGAACACAGAACAGCGCTCAATTATATCCATCTCCAACAAAAGCTAGGAAAGAAAAGCAAGATGGCGGACAAGGTCAAGCACCCCTCGTCGCTGCCCGAGCTCCAGGCCCTCTTCGGCGGCAGCACGTACGTGGCCGTCGACTTCTACGCCGACTGGTGCCCGCCGTGCAAGCAGATCGCGCCCATCTGGCAGAAGCTGGCCGAGCAGCACAGCGTCGACGGCCAGCTCGCCTTTGCCAAGGTCAACGTGGACCACGCCCAGGACGTCGCCCGCGCCTACGGCATCACCGCCATGCCCACCTTCATGTTCTTCAAGGAGGGCAAGCAGGTCGCCGTCCACGGCCAGGCCAAGATCCAGGGCGCTGACCCCCGCACCCTCATGGCCGCGGCCGAGAAGCTCGGCGGCCTCGCCAAGAAGAGGGCCGCCGAGGCTGGAAAGGCGTAGGCTGCAAGTCACTACTATTGCCACGAAAGAATCAGCTCTACGTGATCATCACGAGCTGAGTGCAACGGGTCGTCAAATATTTCCCGGAGCATATCGCCACAGCAAGGACCACGATTTCGCGGTGATGTCTTTTCGACTACCATTACGCACAAATGAATCTCAACGGAAGGAATCACGTTTGTGGGATCACGATTCACCATAGATCAGTCGTCAGCAGATTCCCAAGCCGACATCGGAGGGAAAAGAGGAGAGCCTCATTCTGTATCCCTTCCTTGCAGCGTCCGGAACAGGGCAAAGAAGGCCTGGCCACTACACAGGCGCCTGTGTGCTGTTTCCTGAAAACACTCTCGAATGGCAACGCCTCTAATGCGACGGAGGCTTTCAGTTTCAACGCTGCGTTTATTCAACGCCAAGAATCGGTTCGTGTCAGGAATCGCTATAATCGACGGATACACCAAGATGGAGCGAAATCACGATGTAGGAGGGCGAGGCGAGCAACCATGTAGAGTAGCAAGTACTCTGAGCTTTACAAGAGACGAAAGGTAATCCAATCAGTATGATTAAGCATTAACTGTTATTTCGCACAAATAGTACATGATCCTATGTGTTGTTGATTTTCCTACACGAAGCATTGATCCCAGAAGCCTCCGCTCTGCGCAAACGTCAGGCTGGATACAAAGGCGTCCAGACCGCAGCGGCCGAGCTCGTCGGCACCGCACGTCTCCAGCGGGATGACCCGGTCGTTGACCAGGACGCGCACCAGCTCCTCGTCGGTTCCCGCGCAGGACATCTTCTCGACGTACATCCTGGCGGCGAAGGGCACGAGCCAGCTGGCGCTGAAGCCGGCGGTCTGGGCGGTCGTCTCGAGCGTGACATTGGACAGCGCCGCCGTCCCGTTGTACAGGCCGAGCGCGCTGTAGATGGTCGTCATGTCGTTGTCGTGGGAGAAGTCGGCGTACAGGGGCAGGCCCAGGGGGAAGGTCGCGGCCGAGCCGTCCAGGGTCGAGTTGGTGCTCGTGTGGTCCCGGACGCTCGTGTTGGTCAGCCGGGCGATCAGCTCGTTGGTGAAGCCCACGCCCTGGGTCGGCCCGAGGGGGTTGCCGCTGCCGTAGCCGTAGTACTTGCCGATCGTGTTGTAGTAGCCGTACTGCTCCCACTCCTCGGTGGTGAAGAGCGAGCACCACTCGGAGATGTTCCCGGCCGCGTTGGCGACCGTGTTGAAGGGGCAGAGGTCCATGATGTAGATGGTCTGATCCGCTGTCAGGTTCGCCCCGACTAGGTTGGCGTTCAGGCGCGCCGTGATGTTGGGCAGGAACACGGCGGTCCAGTCTGCTTGAGCATCATCTTTGATTTCGCTGTCCGGGCCGTCCTCGAACGCGGTGCATAGGCTGTGGCTGAGGGTGTTGTTAACACCGGCATCCTCTGAGATGGTCAGGATATCCCAAGGGTATCCGTCGGAGGCGTTGCCGCTGGAGGCCAGTCTCGCTTGGTGGAATCCTTGCGTCCAGTTGTAAGCAGACTCGACGACTCTGTCCTCTCCCGAAGACCGGAACCAGGGCGTCGTCTCGCGAGTCAGCTGCTCATATCTCTGGTAAAACTTCATGCCGGCGTTTATGAGCTCCTGCTGCCCGAACGTCGTGAGCTGGTCCGCCCCCAGAGTATAGACGTAGTCCTCGATGAATTCGTATCCGGCACCATACGACGTTGTCGAGGACTGAATCGCCTGTATTGTGGCATTGTACTGTGCCGTCTTGCTGGCAGTGGGATCGCGTGCGCCGTGGCGAGACAGCATCTGCACAAATGTCACCTCACAGCTTTCGGGGACGCTGGCATCTATCTCCGAGGGCACTGAGAAATAGGGCGAATATTGTCCCCAGTTCTGCGATATCTCTGGGCTGCATGTATATCCCGCCTCAACCGAGTCGCATTCACTCGAACAAGCCGCATATCTGCCTGGCCATTAGTTTCTTGCGTATCTTGAGATGCTTCATGTCGAAGGACAGTCCCAGCGACTTACGAGCCGGTGATCAGCGACGCCAACCCAGCGACGACCCAAGTTCTTGAAGCCATTGCCAAAAAATTTGCCAAAGATTTCTCACGCGACCTGCTCAGATGCTGATTGACGTTCATTCAACCTGGACGCCATGTTCACATTCGCCAGGGTGCGGCGATACTTATACGCACCGCAAAGCGCACACACGCGACCCCATGTTGCATGGCTGGCTAACCCATCTAATCTATCTCTGCATTTGCGCTGCCAATGGCTATTGAACGCAATTTCCATCTGCCATGGCCAGGGTGTTGCACGGTTTGGGCGAATGCAACCGCACAGCTGCTGTCCACGTGCCAAGGGCTTACTACCAAGTTCAATGTTACTATGCTCAGGGTTCTGTCCGACTGTGCGCACGTGGGCTCGTCCGGGGGTTCTGAGTGGGAGTGGAAAAGGGTGTCTTGTTGCGCCGAATAGCTGCTTCGTATATACGCGCGGCGTATCACAGCGCTAGAATGTTAGTGGCACCGCTGCTCCTTCCAGCGGTCTCGGGGACCTGGCATTAGTGCCGAACAGTAGTCGAAACGGGAGATCGGCGGGAGTTGGAGAACAAAGTCCATGACTTGTTGATCCGATGCGAGGATGGATTCGGGGACAAAGGAAAAGAATGGAGTGCAAATAAACCAAATGAAGAAAGGAGGAACTTGTCTCCAAATGCGTTAATTACTCTCAAATCATAACGTTGCGTGGGAACAACGCTTGCTACCTAGAAAACAACAATAGATACCTACTCTTTTCCTAGCGAGAACCGAGCACTCTGTCAAAGTACTAGCTCCCTAGTAATGTCAAGTCTAATCACATCGAGCGCAGTATAGTCAGCAGCAGCAAGTTGTATCATAAAAGAGTCAATAGGAAAATGAAACATGAGTTTACCAAGTGGCCATAAAGATCGTTCGCTCACAGGCTCCGTTGGCAATACAAATTATATTCAGAGCCGTCTATAATGTTGACTTGAAACAACTGTATTGCACGAAGAATCCAAGCCAATATACACACGACTTTTCGCGAAGTACGAGCGAGACAAGGTAAAACAAAAAAAGAGAATACAATTTGCTCCAGACAGCGCGAAAGGATCTGACGACAAATTCAGAAAAAATGCAAAAAAGAATGACGTTGCCCGGAATCGAACCGGGGTCTTCACGGAAAGTTGCCCGTGGTCGCGGGTGATTGCTCACACCACAACGTGATGTACTGACCACTATACTACAACATCCGATCGCCGGTTGGGCTTGATGATTGGTTGTTGAAGAGGGGAAGTAATAGTACCCATGAAGCTACCAGATACCCCGCACTTACACCTTACCAACAAGCGCCATCCATGTATCATTGCTACCCGGATGCATTGCTTGCAAACTTCGATATCAATCGAATTCATAAATTGACTATGAATCATTCGGAGACGGCTTATAATGTTCTGATATCACTCATCATCAGGGGCTTGGAGCGTTGTCTCATCTCTTGGTCTCAAAGTCGTCGCCGACGCGTTTATATGATTCCAACAATAACTTGTACTCTGTAAGTGGATTGTCTTGAACTTCAGTTATACCGTGATTTCGTCTTCTTCATCATTGGCACCGTAAGCAATGTCTGCTTTTATAAAAACCTCGTGTTCTCATCAGGTCTTCGCCGAGGCTTCTAGGCATAGCCAATAGTGAATACATGTCAAGAACAGCTATTTGATGCATCATCCATTGACTGAGAGGAACATTGAATTGGCAAACAGCTGGAGTTCAGCCTGGGTGGGTCCGGCGATAAGATAGCTCAACTGTGGCTAGAGGGTCCGTGCGTGGCACTTGGGCCCCACGAAATTTCAGAGGGCACGAAAACCCTTAAGCCAAGCAAATCAGCATCCACCGAAAATCTCCAAGATAGTAGCATTTGCGCACTTGAGCCTCGCCGCGATCCTCTGAACACCACACGCCCAACGCCCAGCAACCACAGTCATTTTCCCACCCCCACGCCAATCAACCAACCCAATACCGCCAAAATGACTGGAGGCATTTCCGTTCGCGATGTCGATGTAGGTGCCACCACTCTCTCCATCGACCCCTGAGAGCCGGCCTCCAGAAGATCAGATCGAGCGATAAAATACCAATTCACAACTTGGGGCGACACTCCCGAAAAATGGAGGTCCATCGCAGAGAAAAGACATATGGAGCAGGCGCGAGGGGTCGAAAGACTCTTGTGACGGAATCATGCTGATATGTTGGTTTGACTGCAGGCTCAGAAGTTCATCCAGGCTTACGCCGACTTCTTGAAGCGTCAGGGCAAGCTGCCCATCCCCGGTAAGTTGCTACTCTTCCGCGAACAGCGCCCAGCGAACAGCGCCCATTGCATGTCGCTCTGGCGTTCGTGTTCCGAATAATGGAGTTGCCCTCGTGCTGACTGCCCCGACTAGGTTGGGTCGACACTGTCAAGACCGGTCCCTCCCGCGAGCTTCCCCCCCAGAACATTGACTGGTTCTACGTCCGTGCCGCCTCTGTCGCCCGCCACGTCTACATGCGCAAGACCGTCGGTGTTGGCCGTCTCCGAAGAGTCCACGGTACCGCCAAGAACCGTGGTGTCCGCCCCAGCCACCGTAAGTACTCGGAACATACGAAGCCTCTGCCAATGCCATTTCTATGCTGTGCTGTTCGGATATTCGAAGCCTGCGCAACGAGTACCCGACAGCACTAGCGCAGCAGGCGTGGCAGTTTCACTCATGCTCAGAACGCATGCTAACGGATTTCAATCAGACGTCGATGCCTCCGGCAGCGTTGACCGCAAGATCTTCCAGTCCCTTGAGAAGATCGGTGTCCTTGAGCAGGACGAGGAGAAGGGTGGCCGCCGCATCACTCAGTCCGGCCAGCGTGATCTGGACCGTATCGCCCAGACCGTCGTCGAGGCCGACGAGGAGGAGGAGGATGACGAGTAAACGTGCTTTTCTTCCTGCAAAGTTTATGATATCCGACACGGCAAAAGGGGAAATATGGGTTGGTTCAGGTACAGCATAGGGTTCGGCGTCTGAAAATGGCTTTGACATTCTGATTGACCAATTCATGAGGCTTCCTGAACAACATGAGATGATGTTCGCACGCACCAGACAGTGTCCGACCAATCGTGATGATGACGAGGTAACATGTACATGTCAGTTGGAGCCGTAGCGTTCCTCCCACTTCGGATCTTTCAATAGTAATGAGAGTGGTTCTGAGAGTACATGATGTCTGTTGCAAGAGGCAAGACTTTACAATTATTATGCGATCTTTGTACAAGCGTACAACTGCCGCCCTTTGTATTTGGTCGATGACTACCGGTACTCATCTTGTGGTGCCTCGATGGATGTATACACATAACATTATCTTTCTGCCGTGTCTATAACAACACACCGTCTAAGGTTAGGTCGAGACATCGTCAGGCTTGATATTCAATCATCCCATTATATCTACCTCTTACACCCGGCTCTCTGGGGACGACTCTCGATACCTCGAAGCCGCGGGATATCTCGTACTACAGGAGAAATAAGTAAAGGCTTTTCCCGAGTCGGCCATACGTTTGCACCTTCGGACCCTGCTAAGCTGGCCATCTCACTTTGTTCAATTTTCCCATGAGAATAGGGCATACACGGGCTTCTCTGAATTACCTTCCATTCTTGAAATCTGAGGCATACCGGTTTTTGGTTTGCCCGTGATAGTCGTGGGTTGGCAACTTTGGATATCCATTCGCCTTCGACCATAATAGGCTGCCTACGAAGTAGGTCACCTAGGTCATGGCTTTTTACAGTGCACCAACGGCTTGATTTAGGCAGAAAGCCGACGTTTTCATCTCTTGCCAGAGCTCACCTTCTGGATGCCGCCTTGTGACTCGTGAGGTTGGAGACAACCTGTTTGTAGCTGTGGCACATCTAGTGCTGAATAAGGTATGGGTGGGTGGGTGTATGGGTACCCCTCATCCAAACCTCAGCTCGCCCGACATTTTCGACTGCTCACTTTACATGTCACTGAATGGAATCACATATTACTTGATATTCGACTCTTTCAACACCAGTTTTATTCTATCAAGTCAATACTGGGTATCAATGAACTAGATTTGAGACACCTGAAAAGAATGGGCAGATTTCTAATGCCGAAAACCGTGCGGAAGCCTACGCGGCTACGCCCTTTAATGCCAGAAACGCCATGCGCCAGCTGATGAGTCGACTACATGAGCCGTGCTGAAATCAAAACCTTGTACCGTTGAGCTTTTGTCCCCGTTGTCCCCATGCCATGTCTCGTGAACACACAAAGAATACATCGTCCTCCCATTCACCGTCTAGGCCCACTCGGCGAGCAGCGCCATGAGTCCACCGCCGAGGAACACACAACCGAGCGCCGAAAGCTTCATCTTCAAGCCAGCCTTTTGCATCTGGGGCGAGAACATGAACTCGTGGGCCATCAGCTCCACCAGACCCGTGTAGAGCAGGATACCTGCTGAGATGGAATCGAAGATACCATTGACGATGAGGGTAGTGTTGGATCCAGGCTGCAATGTCTCGCGAACTCCGAGACCGGCGGCAATGGCGATCGGGGTACTGAGAGCATAGAGGGCGCCAAGCAGGTAGGGCATGTAGCTCTTTCCCTGGGGCCACGAGGCTGTACCGAGTCTCGAGCCCAGACCGAGACCCTCGAACATCTGATGGAAGACCAGGACGATGTAAAGCACGACGAACTCATCGCCAGCGACAGCCAGGGTGAGACCGATGAAGATGGAGTGAAAGATGACGCCAAACTCGAGAACGAAGAGGGCGGTCATCTGGGCGGCAAAGGCAGCGTCGCTCTCCGAGTGTTCGCGGTGATGGCCGAGATGGTCCTCGCCGGGCAGACCAGTGTTGTGGCCATGCTCCTTGGAGACGTTCTCGGCAGTGCCAGACTCGAGATCCTGGGGCGGCGGAGTGGGCGCATGGACAGAGGTATCCGAGCCCTTCTTAAGCATGTTCAGCGAGGGATCGGCTGCATCGTTTCCGTGGCTGTGGCTGTGGCCGTCGGAACCAAAGAGGTCGTAATGACTAATTACAACCTCGATGAAGAACATGACCATGATGGTCATGAAGCAGATACCACCGGCCCAGGGGTACGCCGAGATCTCGAGATCCTGGAGACAAGGCGAGCTGAGAGCATCAAAGGCAGGCACGAGCAGGTGCATGATCGAAGTGGCGATGATGACACCGGTACCAAAGTACTTTGCGATGAAGAAGGTGACGGGCGGCACGTTGATGCGGCGGCTTCTAGCCAGCACCACGGGCAGGATCGCACCAAGTAGCGACGAGACGAGAATGACAAAGATGGAGGAGATGCGAAGACCAAGGCGACCATCGAACTCGTTGCCGGAATCGCAGTCGACAGTCACAGTAGACGGCTGCTCCTCGGCGCCGGCATCTTGCCGTCTGAGCAGAGCTGTTCGCAGGAATGCCTCCATGTCGACTCTTGCTCCTGCTGTTGTCCTGGACTGTTGTCGTGTAGAGAGAGTTGAGTGGTGGGCGGTTGATGAGAAATTGGCAAGTAGCGAGACACCCAGCCAAGTACTAGTCTTTTCTTGTGAGGCGATAGATAGGCTGACAAATTTGTATTTCCACTGATCAGCCGCGCGTAAGGGTATGCCAGAGCCAGAACCTTATTATCTGCAGCGGTGGTACAGTGATTGCCGTTGAGGTGAAGTAGGGCTGTCTTGGCTGAGAAGATGCAGAGATGCAATGAGGTCGAGAGCCCTTATGTACTCACAAGCGCCGCCGGGCTGTAAAGAGTAGGAGGGAAATCGTCGTGGCTGCCAGGGTTTGACAATTACGGAAGAAGAAGCCGAGATAGGTCCAGAAGAAGAGCAGGAATGGAAATGCCAAAAAACCATCCAGGTTCCCTCGGACTTGTGACTTTTTCTTTCCCCCTCAAAGCAGCAAGAAAAAAACGGGCACGTTGGTGAATCGGAGGAAAGAAAAAAGAGCATTACGGCATCCAACTCATGGGAGCGGGTTGGTGATTATGGATCTTGGGACCCACTTGAGCCCCGGAAAGTGAGGACCTTGATGGCCGGGTCCATCTTGCAGAAACCACGAGCGACATGGACTGAACAGCCCGCAGCCCGCAGCCCTCAATCGCCCTGCAGATGCCAGCCCAGGCAAAGAAAGCCAAGACAGACCAGGGCCACAAAGACCCAAGCAACCCCCATTCCGTGTCCCGTCACTTGCAGCCTTTTGGGCATCCGGCG